CTTGCCTACCTCTCCTAGGATTTTCGAACATCTAAAAATTGGTGTAATTACCCATTTTTAACGGATTTTTACCCTAAAAAGCTCACCTAGAATTTTCGGGAGCCTTTTTACTGGCTGAAATTTTCGAAAGGTAAGTTTTGATCTCTATGATTTTCGGATCTCGAGACTTTCAGCTAGGAAATCCGAACAGATGAAAAATTTTTAGGGGATAAAAATATGCCTATATCTACCGTTTAAATACTAAAATACGTTTAACAATGCTATGTTTAAGTGGTTTTGAACTATATTCTCGTTGGGTGCCCCTGTCCGTAGTTCGTTCACAATGTAAACTAACAAAACTTACAAAAATTAAAATCTTCTGTTTTTAAAAAGGTCGTAGAATTAAAGAAAGTTGAATGTAAAGCCTTTTGAAAACGGAAAAGCTGATAAACTGACTCAGTACGTTCAAGTTAAAATGGTTTGGAAAATTATTTATCCACGGGAAATAGAGTTGAAAATTAAACTAAATGGGGAGTTTGTCTTGAGACTGTGTGGCTTGTCTGTATCAAACGTAACCTGCAAACAGGCGCTTTTTTTCCCTCGTCGCCCAAATAGAAAGGAAAGAAGGACACCTGATTACAGGTTATATCAAATGATAAGGAATCAATGCCGTTCGTCTTTGCTAAATTCCCGGACAAAGACCTTCTCTAACCCTTTCGCTGCCAAATGTGGCCAAAGGCAAATTTCGACCAAATTTGCAAATTTCATTTTCTAAAATTTTGACAAACAAATAGCATCATGTGAAAGTACAGGCAGAGAGCTTTCATTTAAATGGTCACATCATAGGATTTCGTCCGCAGAATCAAAAGTTAGAGTCACCTTACAAAACTCCATCAAACACTCTGGCTGTGAGAGGGTTAATCGGCCGACTTTATTCATTTTTCTAATGGTCTCTCGGTTATAGCACGAGAAGAAGTGTTTGCAAGACATAAAATAACATAGGGCCTAAGAAATTCAGGGGCACCCAACGAGAATATAGTTCAAAACCACTTAAACATAGTATTGTTAAACGTATTTTAGTATTTAAACGGTAGATATAGGCATATTTTTATCCCCTAAAAATTTTTCATCTGTTCGGATTTCCTAGCTGAAAGTCTAGTGATCCGAAAGTTATAGGGATCAAAACTTACCTTTTCGAAAATTTCAGCCAGAAAAAAGGCTCCCGAAAATTCTAGGTGACCTTTTTAGGGTAAAAATCCGTTAAAAATAAGCAATTATACCATTTTTTAGATGTTCGAAAATCTTAGGAGAGGCAGGCAAGCAAGAAATTTTGCAACAAATGTTTCGAAAATTCTAGATCTCAAATCGTCTTCCGAACAGATATTATTCCGAAAATTGCCGTTGGGTGCCCCTGGAAATTCGACATTCAAGTTTGACATCGCCCCTCTGGTAATCAAATCGTGCTTTATGCAGTTTATGTAACCGATGGTGTAGCGTGTGTGCGCCTTGGAAATCTAGTCACAACTAATTTGAGTACTATTTTCTTTTTCTGTGATTTATTTCACAGACAGCTTATTTGATTACATTCTGTACGTGGTCATACGTAAAGATTTCCTTAAAAATTGACATAAGACTTAAAATTTTGATTCCGTAAGAAGCATTGTTTGAACCGTTAAGCCAAAAACTTCAGTAAATCGCTGTGATCTCAACTAATATACCTTGAGACTTTCGCAGCTGGTTGGTGGTGTTTGTTGCAGCGCGATCAACATTAACTGTTCGTCCAACAAAGTGTCTTGATCTCACTTTTGGAAAATGTCTTTTCAAATACAGCCACTGAGTTTCTCTTTTCTTCTCAGTGGAGAACGCAAGTGATTATCGCTAAGATAGCAAGATTTTGCTTGGCGAACTCGAGATAAAAACTCAAAGGCGAATCTTCCGTTAATTTCGACAAGTGAATGACGTAGCTTGCCCTAAAACATTTTCAGGTCTTCATTGAAGGCAACAATGCCATTTTTCCGGAATTGTGAACAAAACGGAAAAAGAGTCTGCGAATATCCTGAAACGTTCACATCGCTTAACAATGAAGTTCCATCTGTCTGGTGAACCTCATGATAATAGAGCTGTCTATCTATTTCTAGGCGGGTTTGTAATGCTAGAATAATTCGGCGATTTTAATAGGAATGTATTGTAGGTCTCTTATAGCACTGAAAAAAGGAAAACAGCCATTTGGGAATCCTGTAATATAATCAGTCACGTTCATTTTATAACTTCAAGCGCACTGACGACCGAAATTGCACGATATTTAAGCAACAGACCACACTTTCTATGGGTTTACCGGCGTGATAACCCACTTGGTATGTTGGGAGAACACGAGAAAAGCTTGATATTATTGATTCAAAATATTTCGCCATTTCTGATTGGCTCCAATCCCCCGGTTAATTCTTCATAACCAACTGGTGCTTACCATATTTGGAAGACGCGAGCAATATACAATCGATCAACCTAGTTTCCAGGCACGGCAGCCGAGCTGTTTATTCCTCAGCCTCGCTGGATAACATTCTCTTCGATCTGCATAATTTTTCACATCCTACTCAGCCTCGTTCAATAATTGCTAAATACTCTTTGAACAGCTAGTTCAGAGAGAGAAATTAACCGGCCGGAATTTCTGTATGTAAAACTTAGTATACGCTTTTTCTCGGTTATCATTATTTCAACAGCAGCTATTGATCTGTTCCGAACGCTGAAAATTCGTTCCCAGTGTCATACTTTTCGCAGTATCACAGACGACAAATTAATGGCCCCGAGAACGAGGCTAGAAAAAAACAACGCAAAAATAGGCGAGAGATTTATACGAATAAAACACTTTAATAAAACATTTTTTTAAAATGAACGATTACAAAAATTATTACGGTGCACTACCATTATGCATTGTACCAAAAACTCCCTCGGTTACTGAATATAATAGAAACATTTTAAGAAATACCTATTTACACGCTTTCTTACTATTTCCCGCTTCCCTTCTTATATCAAATGATACTAAACCTACCACACAAAACTACTTTGATCTCACGTTCGTANCCTCGCTGGATAACATTCTCTTCGATCTGCATAATTTTTCACATCCTACTCAGCCTCGTTCAATAATTGCTAAATACTCTTTGAACAGCTAGTTCAGAGAGAGAAATTAACCGGCCGGAATTTCTGTATGTAAAACTTAGTATACGCTTTTTCTCGGTTATCATTATTTCAACAGCAGCTATTGATCTGTTCCGAACGCTGAAAATTCGTTCCCAGTGTCATACTTTTCGCAGTATCACAGACGACAAATTAATGGCCCCGAGAACGAGGCTAGAAAAAAACAACGCAAAAATAGGCGAGAGATTTATACGAATAAAACACTTTAATAAAACATTTTTTTAAAATGAACGATTACAAAAATTATTACGGTGCACTACCATTATGCATTGTACCAAAAACTCCCTCGGTTACTGAATATAATAGAAACATTTTAAGAAATACCTATTTACACGCTTTCTTACTATTTCCCGCTTCCCTTCTTATATCAAATGATACTAAACCTACCACACAAAACTACTTTGATCTCACGTTCGTAAGTAACTCCATCATTACAGAGTGTAAAACAAACTCTATAAACACTCAAATCAAACCATTTGTGCCTCATCTTGTGCTTGTATCTTCCCACCTTACATGTACAAGCACAAGAAAATGGAAAGTTTGCTTTTGTTTTTCTATGCCTATGGATGCGAGTCGCACCGGTTTACACGTAGTTTGACTCCCAAAGTTTCAGTTATTGGTGTTCATGCTCCTTGCTTTCGCTCTCTGTTTCAAAGCGAGGTTAAGTGCGAAGCCGTTGATACGAAATGATTTTGTATTCTCATGCAAATGAAACTCATTATCACAGGAAAGATTCTGCTCTAAGCCTCGCTTTGAAAGAGAGGGTTTTGGAACTCGAAATTGACCAATTGCTATAGAGCAAGATAACTTACACCAGTGCTGATCGCAGACTTTGATGTATTATTAAATAACTGTTTTGTTAATCAATTTAATTATCTGTTTGTTTTCATTTTAGTTATATAAATGACTCATTGGCAGTTTGAATTGGCTTAGAGTGATTATTTGAATATAGCTTTGCGGTGATCTTTTAAGTACAAAAGCCTATCCAAATAATTATAATTCTTATGTTTTGAAACTAAAAACAATCTAGTAAACCTTCACAGAATCTAAGATTAAGGAAAGACGAGTACTTTCCCATATATGATCGGACGCTGCATGCAGTTAAGCGGGCTCCGATAATCCGATTTTTATCTCAACGAGAAATATCTCCAGCAATCCTTATTTTCTGTGACTATATACATTTGTACACACATTTCAACTCAGTTGTTACGTCAAATCAAAGTTTCCCGCGGATGTTTTAGTGAATTATTGTTGCAATCCCAAACTTTTATCTCGCAACATTAAATACTTGATACCTGACAGCGTTAGTTTAGTCGAAAGTTTGGAACTGATTCTGTAAACCGTTTGATGAGGTATCCAGAAGCTAAAAAACGCTTGCAAAATTATCAAAGTAACCTCCAGCAACACGTTTTGTTTACAATTTCATGTTTGGCTGTGGTATTCCAAGTCCTTTAAACGACCATTGAGTAGTCTGTTGCATGAATTGGATTTCTGTTATCACAACGCCCTCCCTACGCAAGTCCTTCTCAAATGTGCTGAACGAAATAGAAAACGTTTGGGCCAAACATGCGAGCAACTTTAAACCAACAAATTACTTTATAGTTACTGCTGTCTTGATTATAATCATTCACCAAAAACAAGTCTCGAAGATTTTTTTCTAGAAAAGATATAGCTAAAGAGGGTAAACCTTCAGTAATATCAACAGCCCAATTTGGTCACCGTACGCCAAGTAAAAAATAGATAGTAGTAATAACTTGTGTCTACAACACGAACGTGGATTGATACAATCCATATTGTCCTTATTTCTTTGCACAAGAAAAGGATTATCAGATCTCGAGAATGAATTGTCTTCTTCTGGTTACATCCTGGGCATCTGCACTGTTTCTTGGAGGCGTCAAATCAATAGGCTTTTGCCTAGCAATGAAGACTTTATCAGGTTCTTCAACCTGATCAAGATTCCTGTATTCTAGTGCAGGGGATCCTGAATCCAAGCTTAGAGTCCCATCCAGATACTGTTGATCTGGTAATTCCGATAACACCACTCTTCTGAGCTTTCTATTGGTCCTTTCTCGAATTTTAGGGCTTTTCAGAAGGTCTTTAAGAGAGAACTTTTCACAATGAACTCCCGAGAAAAAGGTTGGGCATCTACAGGTGTTTCCCTCCAAACACCTTCCACCATTTTGACATCTTGGTAGACAAGTACCTGCAAAACAAACTTTTCTTAGTTAGTCTAAGTCGGATGTTTTGGTTTGCAAATAATGACGATCCTAACTAATCTTGAAAAAAAAAAAAAAACGAGAATTCTGTTTTGCCCAAAATGGTAACAGCAAAAGGGCACCCAACGATTTTTTTTTGTAAGATAACTTTTCGTAGTAGTAAATATTGCCTTGAAAGGTCTAAGCTCGAGAGAAGCCTAACGTTTTTGGAAAACTGTTCCCTTCGTTTATTAAAAGATATTCGCAGTTTTCCTACGACAGTAACTTACGTACTACTATCGGATGGGAACCCCTGGCCATAGCTAAACGAGAATTCTGTTTTGCCCAAGATGGTAACAGCAAAAGGGCACCCAACGATTTTTTTCTGTAAGATAACTTTTCGTAGTAGTAAATATTGCCTTGAAAGGTCTAAGCTCGAGAGAAGCCTAACGTTTCTGGAAAACTGTTCCATTCGTTTATTAAAAGATATTCGCAGTTTTCCTACGACAGTAACTTACGTACTACTATCGGATGGGTACCCCTGGCACTAGCATGGCTAGAATTTTCCAGAAGTACGCAAGTAGTATAGGATGCACCGAATTTTCCTCTTTTTTAAGAGGGAATTTCATTGTCTTGTGGGGGAATACATTACCACAGATGACGTCATAGCCTTTTTTTTCCTTATGAATAAAATGCAGTGGATTCTTACTATCTTCCCTTTTGTGTATTTCTAATACAATAGAAAAAAAACCGACCTCGTTGGGCTTATACCCGAACCGAAAGTTAGAGTATGAAGTCTACGAATTATTCCTTGGAAGGAATGAGCGCCAGGAATCAGGGAACCTGAACTGGAACAATTTGTTGTGCAATGAAAGCGGCAGGAAATAGAACTTGCATTATTACGTTACGACTTAGTGATTTTTAAAGTTACAGGCAAGTTAACGCCGATTCCTTCCTCAAAATAATTCACACTCTTACTTCCGGTTCGGATATAAGCCCAGGCAGGTCGTTTGTTTCTATTGTATTAGAAATAGACAAAAGGGGAGATAAGGAGAAACCACCGGATTTCATTTCGTAATGTGCTTCCCCGCAAGATAATGATACCCCCCCCGCAGAAAAGGGGTTAATTTGGTGCGTTCTATACTACTTACGCACAAATCGTCTTCTCGCAGACGGCTTTTATATTTCCGTTCCTTGCACCGTTGTTCCTCTCTCCGTTTTTACTTTCTGCTTTTTGTTTTGTTTCACTATTTTTTATTTGTCTTAGACATTTTTTCAGATACGCACGTGCGTATCGGCATACAGATAGCTTCGCCCCTGGTTAACATGTTATACTGACCTTCTGTTGACAGTTCGTCTGCTCGATTGTTTGGAACAATAATGTTCACAACAGGTCTCACTATTGCCTGAGCCTGAGAGCTGGGTGAGGCTGATGGAGTAAGTGGTACAGTCACATGTGTGCTGTCCTCTAACCTCTTTTCTGAGCGGATATCGTCTGAAATGGGATTTTAAAATAATCATTTGTTTTTCTAATACAAATACAGGGGATATGGGCTTTTGTTGCTTTCCATAAAAATCCTTGTGAAACTTTCAAAATGTAGTAAAATATTTCCTTAAGCATAACGGAGCCAAAATTTTCTTTTTCCATAACAGAAAATTTGAACTCTTAACAAGGACCACTTAACCGTGGCTGGGTGGCAAGACTTGTCTTTCTCATACAAATCCTTTTACGTTTCGGCGGCCGTTGCACACATCTCTACTTTTTGGATATAAGGCTGAAAATTAACAGGTCACCTAATTTTCACATGCTTTTTCAGTTCCTGCTAACAAAATTTTCAAAAGTGAACTGTTTTCGTGTTTAATGAAAGTTGATCATGTCACCAACTGTTGCAAAAGGCCTATTGCACCATGGGACTATTTTGAGGACGGTATTACTTCTTTCACGCGCAAGAATCTAGTTTAAAGTTTGACCCCCAAAAAATCCCATAGTGAAATTTGATGCATCGTGAGCAAGTGGTCGTCGACAGTGCGTTATTGTAACCTCACCTTCAATCTCTTTATCATCGTCAATTTCCTGTATGGACGCTGGATAGGTGTTAACACCCCTCCCTCCTCCAGAACGCAGTGAGGAAATTGGTATGACAATCTTCTGAGGGCCATTCTGAGGCGCGACTGTTTGTGGTGGTGCACTCACTTCTTTTGTTATGTAAACAGTTGTTTGTTGCTGATTGTTTATTGGATGTTTGTGTTGAAGCTTGACCACATTTGAGGGAGGAAGAAGGTTTGGAATTGTTGGTATGGGATGATCTAAAACCGGAAGTGACAAATTCATTACAATAACAATAGCCAACGATAAGAAATGAACACGGATCACTTATCGTTTAGGTATAGCCAATCTGGTTAGGTACAAGAGTTAAACTATGCAATATTCACAAACTGAAAAAAGGGGCACACATACACCAACCCACGTCCTGGCCAGTGCCTTAGGCAGTGACACAGGTTAATATGGCTGGACGCACGCGCAAGGTAGTGTCCATACCGAGGAGTGTGTGCTTCAGTGCTGCATTTTGTCTTGCATGCAATATTGGCTGGTAATACACTTTGCATCAGATGACTCCTGACAGGTTGATAAAAATTTAGACGCTGAAAAGGTTTGTTTTTTATAGAGCCTCTCACCCAGTAGATCCCAGTAAACGAAAAATTACGAGCCAAAAAAAAATTAACAAACAGTTACTTGACAACATGAACCCTTCACTAAGGTAAAAAAATGGAATTAAAATATGAAGGAAATGAAAGATAACTCTTCTGTGATTCAGACCTGTACTCTGCTCAACATCCAGAATTCGTCTTGCCAATCCTGCCATCGCCGTCTCTAGAACAGTAACCTTGTCTTCAAGCCGCACGACTTTTTTCTCCAAGCCATGAATTCTCCTATTATCCGAGTGTACAGAAATAAGGCTTGGCCCCTTGGGCCCTAAAAAGACAGAAGACGACATGGCATTCAAGAAAGGAATTTAGACAAGACAAGAATACTATTTATACCACAAACAGAGAAAAAGACCTTTAAGAAAATACAATACTACTTATGTAAGGTACAAGCCGCCTGTAGAAAATAGCTAAAAAGCTTATCTAGCTAGGAGGCATTATAGATTAATTAAGAGTATTAAAGAGGTTGTTTCATGAATGCAGAAGTAGAAAACAGTGTTAAAAAATGACAAACACACAAACAAAAAATAAAATAAATTTGAAGAAAGGCACATGAACGGACTTGAATCACTGAAAAATTGAGGAACCGGGGAAAATGTTGGAAAAAAAGAATTTAATATCAACTGAAAATAGCCTTTTTCAAAGACTGTTTAAACAAGATTTCGTATCGAGTAAATGAGACGATAAAATGGCAAAAATCAGGCACAAATAGACGAAGAAGTAAAAAAGGAAACGGTACAAAACGATTGAAGGGGAAAAAAAGGAAAAACAAGTTCACTAGGTCGAAGCGGAGTTGGAGGTCAGAGAAACACGTCCGCCCCCAAGAACTGCCCATTTGCTCCAATTCATCCTTAAACTTCAGTATGGCAAACAGGACTACTGCCACCGAGAGAACAGAGACTACATTTTCGCGATTTGAACCGTTGTGCAAAAAATAGCTAGTTCACACCGCTAAAATGTAGTCTCTACTCGCAGAATAAAGAACTGGAGAGAACTCACAGGTGCAACGTTTGTCTGACTTTGCTCAATGAAAGGGAATCCAAGATAGCATTGAATTATGGATCCCACGCCGTGGATTCCGGATTCTGTGTCAGAACGTATAGTCCAGAATCCAACCGCTACTACTATTCCAGATTCCTCAAGCTTTATTCATGATTTCAAATCCCAAGATTTCGTATTCCACAGGCAAAAATTTGCCGAATTCGGGAATGTCTATTCCCTTAAAAGGGGCGGTTGAATGGTCACTTTCGAGATACATTCACCATACTGACTCTACCTACTTATGACATCCCCCTTGAGCAAATTTTGTGCCCACCATTACTTTTATTTACAGGCGAGGACATGTGTATAAGCGAGGATCATATATATTATTTTTCTTTTTGTCTCATCGATTTTTTTTCCCTGTTAGGGTTAAATTTTTAGTTAAGGTTTAGAAGATCCGGGGAGCCTTACATAACCCTAAAGGAATAAATATCTATAATATTCATACCATGTCTTAGTTTTTCTTGATTATCCTGAATGGTTGAATGGTCACTTTCGAGATACATCCACCATATATTCTACCTACTTATGGCACCCCCTTGAGCAAATTTTGTCCTCACTATTACTTTTATGTGGAAAGACATTTTTCAGAATTACCTTGCACTATCTCCTTGATGCTGTAAGCGTTGTCATCGTTTGATGTTGTCAAAAGTGACGTGGGAGGAGTTCGAGAGGTCAGCACATCAACTGTCAGTAGAAATTAACAAAAAATGTCGATTAAATGAAAAACATGAAACATATCCTATGTGATCTCCTCTAAGAATTCTTTAAATCTTTGTTTATCAGCCAGAGACATAGAATAGGATTCACCCTTTCAATAACACATTTCTAATTTTTTCGTATTTTTGTTTAAAACCAGAACATATGGTTGACAGTATATATACTTATCGTGCCTCTTAATACAATATTTCAAAGCTTTTACCTTGTTGAGATTTTGGATCACGAAATAGGAGTACACAAACCAAAACTCCGAAACACAGACAGCTACTGTGTGGCTGAAGGAAAAAACAGAGTAAATCCGAAAGAAAAGAAAGTTACAGACTTTTCACAAAGAGCGGCAGTTTTGTTTTTGATGCTTTTTGACACTGACTTAATGTTGGAAAAACAACGTAGCCTGGTATAATGATCGTCACATGGCATGTCACGTGGTCAAAAATTTTAAAAAAAGGAAATCTGGTGGTGAATCTGCCCTATTGGGATAAATAAAGTGGATAATGATACTTTATTTTCTACGTTTGGAGTCTAAAATTAAAGTTTTGAATGACTTAAGATTATACTGGAGTACTTAAAATGATGTTTGCCTTCTTAAAATTTGATTGATTTGCAATAGACACTCATTCCAAACGTGAAGTGTTCGAAATATTTAATATTAATAAGAAAAATGTTACTCCTAGTACTTGCTTTCTGCTCAAAAACTCGTCTCAGGAAAATGGCCACGTGACATATCACGTGACTTACCAACACAATAGTAATACTTTTTATGTTAAGGACGATGAGTTCTTTATGTGTGCCAGATTTCGATCCAGTTCCATTTTTTGTGACAAAGTGATAGCCAAAAAATTATTTTTTATACCCATTGGATCCAGGCTTTAAACCACTTGAGTAAAAAATGAAGCACACTAAATACAGTCACACTTAATAATGGACCCCAAAGAAACAGCTGATTCATATGTCCACATTACAGAGGTACTCGTTTTAAAATGACTGAAATTTACTGAATTTTGGTATCTTTGGAATTAAGTAAATCGTCTTACAGAAGATAGGTGTGCTTAATATAGAAATGAACAAAAGTAACTTAAAGTTTGTCTTACTTCATGTGGATGTAGATACCAGATTTGATAAATAAACCAAACAAGGGAATTTTCAAAAAGCAAAAGATTGAAACACAACATTTAAAACGAACAGTGTGTAAAGCTGCAAAGGGTGTCTTGAATCATGGTGTGCGAGGCTCACGATAGAGCAAGGCCATCTTTGAAATGTCGTGACAAATATAATGCACATCGAGTGAATCCAACGTGCCGTGAATAAAGAAGATTTAGTAGGCAGGGCTTGAGAACTAGTTACAAAGTCCTTCCTAATTGTTCTGAAGTTTCAAGCTGCAATTATTACCCTTTTCTGCATTCAGTTTCGTCACCCTCATTTATATTTCCTGTAAAGTACCCTAAAAACAAACAATAGTCAAAAGAAAAACAGGACTTAAATACCTTCACTTGAATGTTCAGTTCTGTGGCGTCTGGGTTCATCATTGCTATCGGGGCTTGATTTTTTGTCTGATATTCTGGATGTCACCTTAACTTGAATTGCTAGCTTGTTAGCTTTACTTTGAGGTAAAAGTCCATCATTTATCTTAACTAACTTTTCTGCTTTAGGGGAAACCCTCTCCGGTTCATACTGTACTTTCTGTTGTGGACTAGCAGTCAAAACATCTTTTGACTGATGTGCCACGTCGCCATGTTTCGTATCTGTCAGCAGACCTTCCTCTGGATCTTTCTCCAGGCTACTAGCCTTTCTCTGAATTGTCCCTAGTTTGTTTTTTCTTGTCACTGTTCTTTCATGATCATTTATTTTGCGACTTTGAGAATTGTGAATTGTAACGATTTCACCATATGGTATTCCACTTTTTCTTTCTCTTTTTTTAACGCCTTTAGACTGACGTGTCATGTGACGTTCTTTTTGAGACGCCACAGTTTTTGTTGGATCAAAACTCACGATGCTTTCAGAGCCTTGGAGCTTATTTTGGGCTTTGTCTTTAGTCAAAGCACTACCTTGGTCGTTAGCGGTGGGAGTTTCTGGTTTCTCTGGTGTGACACTTCCCCCATGTGGCATATCATTTCCACTTCCTGAATCGTGCACTGTGTCATGTTCTTTGTCAAGTTGTATATTATTCCCTAGAAGTCCTGGCACTCGCTTAGCATTAATTTCTTGATTATGAGTTTCCTTTCTCTCTGCTACTTTGTCATTGTTGGTCACTTTTTCAGCCATTGAATTAGTCTTACTATTTCTGCTTGAATCAGAAGGGGACGTTTTCTTATCTTTTTTTGTGCCTTTGAGTGCGTGCTCAAATGAAACACCACTTTTGGAAGAATGAGAATCCTTTTCTCCATCGACTACAACATCAGTGGACAAAGAGTTACGAACTGAGGAACTTTTGCTCGCTACCGTTAAATTGCTTGAACGAACGTGAAGTGCACTGCTTGTAACTGAGAAAGTCTTCCTTTTCTGGAATTCTTGTTTGTCTGAAGTAAAGAAATAAGCATTATATAAGTGCCACTTCCTTGGTAGCCTTTAAAAGAATCTTCAAACAAGTCAAGCGAGGACATGTGTCTAAACCAGGATCATATATATTACTTGTCTTTTTGTCTCATAATTATCGATATTATTCCCTGTTGGGGTTACATTTTCAGTTAGCGTTTAGAAGATCCGGAGAGCCTTACATAAGCCTAAAGGAATAAAAATCTATCATATTCATACCATTTCTTATTTTTTCTTGATTATCCTCTTTGGCTCCCTGTGAACTATGATTTTCCTTATGTTCCTGTGTATGAAGAACTAAAGCACTATTATCTTCACCAGTCACTGTTTGAGAATGATTTAAGTGTTTCGCCTTCGGGGCGTCCTCTTGAAACCCCTTCTGTGACCTTTCCTTTGTTGTAACATCCACCTTAACATTTTGTGGTATTGTGTTTGAATCATTTACGTTTCTTCCATTACCCGAGACTTTCATGAAGTCTTCTTGAGCTACGTTCGGAGTCCTTTTCTTTGATAAAACATCATCCTTCTCATTTTGTAGTTCTGCGTTTGAAGAGTCAACTGTTAAGTTCATTCGATTATCCAAGACTTGTCCTCTTTGCTTGACTTGTAACTTAGCAGTTACCACACCTTTATCCAACATTTTTTTTGAATTTCCAAGAACGTTATATTTCATTTTATCGCGTACATTCGTTGTGTTACGAGAACCACTAGCTTGCTTTTTATTTGAGTCTCCTTCAGGGACATTACTGACGTTCCTTGCAGCATAGGATTCAAGCTTATTGTTCTCATCGAAGCTATCTGCAAGACTGGTTTTATTACTGGTAGTTGCCCTTGCTTCATTGAAAGAAGAATTTGATTGTTGTGTATCCTTTGTTCTATACGTCTCTGCAAATACATTCTCAGCCTTTGCTAGGGCAGGAGCCAAGTTCTCCAAAGTTCTGTTTCCAAAGTGCTCTTTGACCCTAGGAGTGTCAATATCACTTTCTGATCTATTTCCAGTAGCATTATCATGAAAGCTCAAAGCTACCTTGTCCAAGATATTTTTTTCTCTGCTAATATTTGTAGTCAAATGTGATGGTTTCGACAATTCGGCTGCACTTCCTGTAGAATCAGCTTTTGATTTCGATTTATTTTGTGCAAACGATGTAACATTTGTTTGTATTTTCGAAGCATCCAATTGAGAACTTGAATTTGTAGGTGAAGGTGTTATGTTCTCTAAAGTTTTGTTATCAAAGCGCTTTTTAGCAAATAGAGCGCCAGTATCACTGTTTGAGTTATTTCGTACTACTCCACTGTCACTTCTAGTCAAATACAATGACTTTGATAGTTCTGCTGACTTTCCTTTGGAGTCGGTTAATGGCTTCGTTTCATTTTGCACAAATAGTGGAGGCCTCTTCTCTATTCTAGAATTATTGATCTGAAAAATATTTCTGTTATTTTGGTCTAACTGTGACCCTTCACCTTTTATCAAAAAGTTAATTTTCACTTTTTTCGGCACACTTGATTTCTTAGTTGGGTTTTTTGTCGGGTTTGCTTCCTCAATCTCTATTTTTCCAAGAGTTGCATTCATTTTCGCTGGCGAATTGCTTGCGTCATTATTGTGACTTTCTTTAGAAACGTGTCCCTTAATTATGTTGGTATTTTTAACATGTGATGTTTCCTTTCCTTGAGTATCTGGGTTCTGCGATATAAAGCTGTTATTAAGCAGCTTCTGTTGGTCGTTTATGGTTCTCGGACTGTCAGCTTGTTTTCCTTTTATATGACTCTTTTCACTAAGTTGTGGGACATTCCCCGTTTCTTCTGTAGCACTCATGACCCTCACTCTCCTTCCTGTTTCACGGTTCTTTCCCACTTGGTTTTCAAAGTTGCCTGAGGAGACATTTTTGATGTTCCCGTGATATCTAGACTCCAGAGGCTCTTGCATTTCTAGAGGATGTCGTTCTCCCCATTTTATTCTCGATCCGACGTTGGACATGTGATAAGAGCTTCCATTATAAGTTTTAGAACTATTTTCACCTTCATCAATTTCAGCCTTGTTTGCGCTGCTCGACGTGTTCATAGATGAAGTGTTTGCAGTTTTTCTCTTAAACGACACCTTTACCTTCTCGATGGTAGCTTTTTCCTCTGAAAACGTACGAAAAAATTATAACTATTAATGACTTTTTTGTTATAGTATTGTTATATAAAAAGGCCCAGTACCCACTGTAACTTCTAGAATTGCTGTATAGCACGACTGCCTCAACGCAGACCTACTTAAACGCTATTTAATTTGGGCCATTAATTTTGAAAAAATTGTCACAAGACTCATCATTTCAATCTGAAGTAAATGAAATTATGTTTTGCTCTTTATTGTGATTGGTTACGGAATTGTTTTCCTGTTCGACATACTCGTCCTACGAGGACCAAAAAATATAAACAAGTGCAGTCGGAGGTGGCTGGGGGGTTTAGCCCCTTCGGTAGCGATTTGCCTTGTCAAGCTTTTGGAAAAATTTCATCCTTCTATAGCGAAAATGCGCTGTTTTCAGAGATGAAGATTGCCAGACGAGGCGAAAAGTAAAACTCACGTTTGTTAGAAGGCCATGGTTGTTCCTCCTTGGGAATGGTTTTAATAAAATTAATGCTCACTTTTTCGTGTGGGATGCCTAAAAGATATAAATTATATGTTACTATATTAGGTTAAGTTACATAAGGCGTACTGAGGCGTAAAATAAGACACAATTCGCTTTTTCAATTCACAATTCAGTGATAATGGCGCTAAGTTAATTTATGTGGCAAAATCTAGAATGTGGATATGGCCTATACGGGGATGATGCTGCCAAAAGGGGTACCTTTTTCAGGCTTCAGGTATATGAAAAGGTAGGGAATTTACTGGTTGAAGCTGAAAGGGTAGGGAAATCTGTGATTTCGGTTTTTAAAACTCCCAAAGGGAAATTTATGGCTGTGATAGAGTCGAAAAAACGTTGACCTTTTTTTATTTATTCATATGTTAAAGACAGTGCACTTACAGCAGTTAAAAGGGGTGCAAAAGATTAGGAAAGGGGTACCTTTCGTCAATAAAAGGTATAAGAAAGGGGTCCCTTCTCTGCCAAACATGATATATAAAAGGCTAAGGGGCTGGACCTTAAGGAGGAGCCTTCCAGTACAAAACTTTGTTAAGTTCCCACCGAGGCACAGATAGATTTTGTATCTGGTTAGTTGAAGAGGTTTTTTCTCAACTTAACCCCTTATCTCCAGAAGGGATTTTCATGTAGATTTTCCTTACAATATATGCATTGTTCAGCAGACATGATGAGAATAGCCGAATGCATTAACAGCGGGAGAATTTCATCTTCATATAACCTGAAATTCTCTAGTGACCAAGAAAGTACAGCAGCCAGAAAGGAGAATTTCTAAACGGATCTTGGGAGTTATGAGGTTAAAGAAGGTGTTTTTGACTTACCTGTATTATTGCTGAGAAAATCTTCTACCTTTCGTTTTATTGTTCTACCTGTGTTGTTCATCAAGTTATCTACTATTGAGTGCATCACTACTTTGGCACCTGTGTAAGAAAAAAAAAACGGTAAACAGATGCCACGTTTATATCATTGCTGACAAACTGTTGAGACGTCTCTTTTGTTGTATTAAGTGGGTTTTTATTAAATTGTAGAGAAAACATGCGAGGACGATAAAACAGTTACTGTTAGTTAACGTAAGTATCTTTCTATATTTCTCGAACTATAATGAGCTTCTTTTCTTTTGAAAACGCTTCACATCAAAACGAAATTATTTTAACAAACCAAAAATTCAAACTTCCATGTACAATACTACATGTTTGTTGTGATCTTAACCCTTATGGCCAATATTCCCAGTATTACTAAACATTATTGCCTGCATAACAGTCTGGTAAAGTATTTGAAACGCTCTGATCGGTTTTGAAGTCTTTTTAAGGTAGATATTCACCGGGGGATAAGCTAAGCAATTCCTTCCACTTAAAGTTGATAAACGTGACGAAATCCCAACGTACCTTTTGCTTTCCAAACTCTCCATATTCTATGCATAACGGAAATCCAAAGGCCGCTTAGTTGTTCAAACGTTTTGAAAGCAACGCCTAGTGTTTCAGGTCCTACGTTATAAAAAAAGAGAAATAAACGCTTTATAACTTGATTTTTGCTTTACCAGTGATTTCATATGCAGGCAATAAGGCATAGAATTGCAGAGAGAAAAACTAAGCTCATTTGAAGATGAGAGTACCTTACCTGTCTTCAGCTTTTTAACCAACTCTTCGTCTGATTTTGCTGAAAAAAGCGACAAACTTCCTTCATTTTTTCAAAAAATATACTGATTTAAAGTCGATTAATTAGTGGGTGCATTCAAACATGCCTCCCCCCGCCCCCCCCTGCGTTGGATGAAGGAGACGAATTACTGCTCAGAAAAAGAAAGAATCAACAAAATAAGACTAAAGGTAAAAATGCTGCTCTCACGTAGAGACTGTTGCGTACCAGCCCTTGCTTTTCAATTTAAAGGCTTAATTATAAACTGTCAGGGACTATAGACAAGAAGCTATAAGAAGGAATTCTTCAGCACTTAAGGGAAACAGAGCTATCCAAGAGAAAGACAGTTTAACTTTCTCTGTAAAGGCCTTTATTTGAAAAAGTTTTCTTTCCATCAAACGCCAGCGAAACAGATAAACCAACCAACCAGCCAATAAACAAACAGACCAGATAAGCAAAAAACAATGGTCCACACATAAATCAACCAAGAATAATTAATAAGGTAATGTTTTCTTCATACCTTTTTTCAGTTTCTTCAATATATCTACGGCATCAACAACTAAAAAGACAGAAAAGATTATGTAATCAAACATTTCTTTATCTTATCTTCTAGGCAAAAGACGCATCTGTAGAAGGTCACAGGCTAAGCCCGGCTGGGCGCAGCCAGGTCCGCACAAATCAAAAACAAGACAGGCCGCTAGTTTTTCAGCGGACCTGAGCATGTTTGGATGATCAGGGAATTTATTACACACTACTTTAAAGCATTAAAAACCTCCAAATTCCCTGAAAAAGAGGGAGCGTACTCTTAAGGAATTGGATTTTGATTAAAAGCCTGGTCAACGGGAGTTTCCGCGTTAGAAAGAGAAACCAACCGGGAGTTTAAGGCCTTGGTCAACGATGCGTTCGCATCATATGATGATGGATTGGCAATATCTCTCGCTAGGAGACCTAGAACAAAATGAAATCTTCCCCAATAGTAGAGACTCGGAAATGGTATTTTCAACATTCTCAATGAGATTTTTCTCTTAAAAAAACTCAACCTGGATGAGGTGTAAAATGGCAGGTACTTCTAGTGGTTACAGCATGTACCTTATACTTTAAGCAAAACATTTTTCTTCTAGAAAAGTGGGGGAGGGAGGAGGGTAAAGCCCTCCCAGCTCCCCCGGCTCCGCCGTCTCTGTGAATTGCATTACGTGACTGTTTCGGGGACGCTATCACTTCTCTCATAGGCTGTTACGAAGTTGTCCTGATAACTGGTCAAGATTCCTCCCCCATAACATTCCCATGATGCAATTCGTCGCAACACCGACCCAGTCGCCAACAACAAATCAAAATGGCCAATAAATCTTTTTGGAACTGGAAGTACCTTTTGAAAGTTCCAGGGAGGAGTCAAACTTTGAGTTAGTACTTCCGCGGTCTTCGTTTCCATGGAAGTTTGATTTCGACCCATCATCCTCCCCTGACCCGCTTTTGTCTCCATTGTCGCCTGAAGTCTCGGATCTCTTGTTGGAATAATTTCTTGACTGAGACCCTTTGAGTACACACCAAAGTGGTAATATGGGAAACAGCCAGGTCGAGCTCGGTCTTAGTTTAGGCATTCCAACCAGTAGAAGTGGACGCGGACTACGAATTTTATTTGTTTGGAAAGATTTCAACCACATCAACTGTAAAGTTACGTCAGCAGAAAAAAAGACAGAATGTAATTTAGTAGCAACCAACTTTTTTCGGTCTAATTGATAAGGAGGTAGGTAGAGAACAAGATATTTCGCGCTCCTTTTGTTGAAAGATTTTACGGAGAGCGAGGTTAATTGAAGTTTGGATTACAAGGACGTCTATGTCAGGCAAATATATTTTCTCAGGAAAACGATGATGATAAATAGAAAGCCTTCATTTGAAGTTTTTAATCCTGATAGCGTTACTGATCATACGAGGCGCTACAATAAGTCGACTGTAAAATGGGCATCAAGAACATGAGAATTTTAGGACCATTTTAGCCTACTCATATGCTCAAAAGTACCAGTCCTAACTACTAACCACTATTTCCATTCCAGTCCTCCTCTGCCACTGTGGACCCTTCGCCACTAAATGGCTCTTCATTCTGGTCTGTAGAGTTGGAATGAGCGGACAAGATTTATGTCACTTATCAGATAATAATCGTCCCAGATTTAAATAAGCACCCCGCCCAGCAAGCACACTTCTAGTCAAACCAAAACTGAAACAGCACCCCACCTATTCCCTCTATTTCTTTTCTAAATTTATGAATCGTCATATTCAATCACGTATTTTTGGACGACATATATTTCCTACTGTAAACTAAACATGATAAGTACTTCAGCCAGGATTTAAGGAATACAGTGGAACCTCCACGTGCAACCAATCCCTATGGGCGACGACCGATCGAAATTACCCCTGTACGTTTTTCCATTCAATGCCCATAGCTGGAATCTCTCGTAAGCTACCACTCTACTAATAAGCGACCATCAAATCTTTCGGCAGTTTCGACGTAGTTAGATAAGCGTCCCCATTCGAAGAAGAACCCACTACCTTATTTTGACATCTAACAAACTCTAGGCACAGCAATTCTGGGTAGTTATCAAGTGGTTATAGCCAATGTTAACGACTCTTGTTCACAGCGTGTACCATTCCCTTGCAAGGGTCGACAGGATAAGAGGAATTGGAGGCTCCGTGAAGTAGAATTTGCTGCTTACCTGCGCAGGAACTTGGCACCAGTCCCAGGACCGCGAGGACCAGCAGGGTGGCATAGAGGCTCATCGCCAGGAAGGATTCTATTCGGGGAGTAACTTTTACATAGGCATCTTTTCAAGAGGGGAAGGACAGTCCCACCTATAGCAGTTAAACAGATTCCAGTTTAAGTAAAGCACTGAACCATATTTGCCGTTTTTATGCTACAGACGTTAACTTCATAAGCAGGTTGAGCATTATCGTCCGAGTGAACGTATAGTCCTGAATGGGACTGTTGTTGACAGTGAGTCACTGACAACAACAGTCCTATTCAGGACTACGTTCATACTCAACCTGCTTATGAAATGACTCTTGGGTTAAAACCTGTAGGGTCGGTTATTTCAACGAGGTCTTGCTTAGACCGCGGTTTAGGAAATCTTTGGACCTCCAGACCTCTTCCTTAGTGCGTTATTTTAAGAAGAGAAATGCTTTACAGGTCTACGCCATATGCTTTCATGAAACTGTTTACGACAAATAGTGTTTAGATAAAAGCGTCGAGCAAACTGAAAAAATGGCTTAGAACTCAGTTTTGTTAAACACTGATTGAACTCCGTTTAAATAACCGGCCCATCACTTTTTGGACGTTAAATTGGTCAAGATGCATTATATTTAACTTCTGAGACGTCGAAGTCGACTGGTGTAAAGAAGGGACGCATAAAAGCAAACGACAGCAGTGAAAAGTGAAAAGGATTTCTGGTAGTGGGAGAACACAGAATAATTCTAAACAGCAGAACAAAGCGAGGAAAAAAAAAATAATCAGAAAGTGTTGGAAAAGAATTTCTATGAACTTTATCCTCCGTAATATTTGGCCTTGTTTACCGAACCGAAACTATAGTTTTCTTAAAAATGAGGATCGATAACAGAAACCCTTGCTCGTTTTCAATAACAGAAATCAAAGAAACCCATACTAAAAACTTCCATTTTATGCCTCCTTTATCAGTCTAATTGTTTGTTGCTTTTTGTTTTAGAAAAAGGTCATAGTTTAAGTCAATCTCCTCTTGAAAATTGCTAGTTTTTAAATGAAAGTTTCCTTCGGTTGATTACCTCTCCATAAAGCGGGGCGGAAATGTTCACACAGGCGTGAAAATAAGCCACATTGGTTCATTTAATAAAAATAACTTGACGATTTTCTCCGAAATGAAGAAAAGTTGATCAATAAATATTCAGTGGTGCTCAGTGGTAAACCTTTCACTAACTGGTAGCGTGTACGTCCTTTTGCTTTTACGTTCTTTATCTTTTAACTAGTATCCATTTTTTTGAACTTTTTTGAGCGAACTGTTGATCACGCAATTTTAGCAACCAAGAATTGGTCTTAGAGTTGAATAAACTAGCAAGCTAACCACTTAAAACTGTACTTTCATTTGGATCACAAATACAGCCTAATGTCACCAAATGAAGATCTTTTTCAAGTACATGTCAATTTGTTTGAAGGGTATGACTTATAACCCTCTTGATTTGTTCCTTTTATTATTATAGGTTTGCAGTAGTATAAAGTGACCTCCCACTTTTCATGGGGCGAGGTAAAACTATTTATGATAGAGTCACTTTAAAAACAGTTTAGTGAAATACTAGTGCTCAGTGAACGACAGCAGGAGTGTAAGCCTCCTTAAAATTACAATTTTTACAGACCCTCTGCAAATACGAAATGTAGCATTTTGGTAAAAATTTACGTGAAGTCTTTAGTTACACATTGCTTTTATATTCTAATCACTTTAAACAAGGATCGACCGCCATAAAAATTTACAAGGAAAATTAACGGATCAAAATCAAAAAAGGAACATTTATGGGAACCCGGGGACGAGCTCTTGAGGAAAGTACTTAGAATTGCGGTTTCGAGCATTTCGAGAGACAATGAGTTTGAACTGAAGGAAGTGAAGAAAATTTTGCGTCTAATTCTAAGTTTTTCTTGTTTGTCGTTACTGCCACCTTTAGACTGACGTAAGTAAATTTATTGAAAGGACAACCACCAGATCTGCCCCTAACATACCCTGCGAGCAAAGGGCCTTCTATCGAAGGGCCTTTGCTCGCAGGGTGCCCCTAGCAACGCCCAGAATTCTAACTTTACGGACAGTAACAAAGTTTTATCATGAACAGATGAATCATAACGAATACCGCCTTATCAATGATGTTTCCCTGGTACCAATAGTTTCTCTTCATTCTACAAAGTGAAGTTGGAGACACTGCTGCAATGATTACTATTTTGGACGTTCTTTGGAAGGAAACGGTCAAATACCTTGACAAATCACTTATGACCTGCCGGGACGCTATCTTTTTATGTGGGTAGGCAGATAGCTCGCTAGCCACTCAAAATGTGCTCTACAAACCATAATGCTCAATCAGTTACAGCTGTTCCGTCCCTATATTTTACTCACTCTACGACCACAAACTGTTCCCGTTTTAGGGCAACCTTTGTCGTCTGGCTGACTAAACAGGAGCAAACGGTGTGAAGAAATGACAGTTGCATTCTAAAGACAAAAAGTGAAAAACAGAAACCGCGAAATGTTTGCCATAATCTTGAGACGCCACTAAGCACAGAAAAGATTCCAGTACCAAATCTAAATAGGACCAGTCCTTGAAGTGATGTTTTAAATTACCTAAATATCCACTTTAAAATCTTGGAAATGGCAAGACAATGTTCAAGTTAACTTACTGTTTGCCTGCACGAACACTCCAAATTTCTACGGTTACCACGCGTTTTCTCCAGGATTAAACAGGACAACTTAGACACGTTTTCTTTTAACTTGAGATTTAAGTTGACTTCCGAGAGTTGATTTGGCACACTTGTCCCACCCAAAGGCGTATAAGGTCCTAAGGAAGCGAGCCTTGGAATCTAAGTGCTGCCAAATCAGTCAACACTTTTATATTGAAGCGGAGCAAGTTCATATGGGTCGGTAAATTTGTAGAATGCTTCAAGCATATTCAGGAAAACAAAGAGACCCGTAGAAACCCGTCGTTAAAAGCATTCACCATGTAGTTCTCTTTATCAGGTTCACTGGATTGGTGGAACATGTTTACATTCATTCGAATGGTAAACGATTAACAAAGCCGAGCGTGAAAACATGCCCCTTAAATAACGCCTAGCTTCAGGTTAAAGTACACCTCTCATACATAACCCCTGACACTAGAGCTTTTTCAGTTGTTGAAAGGTTTTGGAGAAAAGCGGTCTGGTTATATTTTAACGTTTTCGAAATTCAATTCTCTTTATCAAATTCACTGGTTTGTTTGAATTCATTCAAATGGTTAGCGATTGCCTCTATCAAATGATTTAGCCTTATGTTATGTACTGTCACTTCATTGAACCTCTGTATAACACACTAGATTTTTTTCACTTTCATGGGTATGTTCGAAGAGAATCAGTCTTTTAACATTTTCGACATTTTAAAAGTACCAGCGACGTTTCGTTGCTTCTTGCTGACACTTTTACGTGAAAAGTACACTGTTAGTGGCACATCCCTGTCGCAATAAATGAAGATGATTTTAATTGGAACCTTGATATTTTTTTCATTCAACACAATTCCTTTGAAAATAATGCCGAGTGTCCCATGTTGTTCTTGAAAAAACTTCAAGGCTTTCTTAGAGACATCCTGCAGACTGAAGAACAGTGTAGAAATACCTAGAAAGACACAATCCAATCTACACGCTACTATAAGCAAACAAAAGTGTTGACGCTCCTGTGTATTTGACCTCCGAACTACCCTAATCGTTTGGAGCTTGGGAGGCGGTCCTGGCTTTCAGAAAATGGCGGTGAAATTTAAATTGGTTCTCAGGATCACCGTATTAAGAAGTTTAACAGTATTAAGTTGTCTTTGATTGCTGTTTATTCAAGCGTGGAAAATGTTTCATCGGTTTCACTGTGTAGACGAAATCAAAGTGAGACCTGTCAATTGCAGGGAATCTCCGAGTAGTACTTTCAACTGGATTTGCTAGACTGTATAAAAAGGTGCTACCATTTGATCCTTTGGTTGAAGTCCTCCAAGAATTAATTTTAAAAAATAATTATGGGTCATAGGATAGACAGCTTCTCTGGCCATTGTTGGTTTTTGATGATTTGCAAGACGATTTTTAAGTGTAACTTAAATTCTAAAGTGAATTAGCCCAAAGAGCAAACAATGAGTCGTATTTCATTCTCAACTGTAATTACTGTAAATCAGGGACACATACATGTTCTTATCTCTACGCTTTCATGCTTCTTTGTTCTATACAAGGCTTGGTAAAAAAATTATTTGGGTAAAAAAAATGATAAGATTTGAACATGACCGAAGTGCCAAATCTTAGGTACCCGCTCTAAGATGCCTATGTTGACATGTGACGTGATCGCAAGACAATCGATATTTGCTAAGCGATAAAAGCAATTTTAAATATAGAGAAAAAATATTTTTGAAAACAACTTTCGTTTATGTTATAAATATGACAAAAGCTTCATCTTTTACGTTGTTCTGTCTCAGTGGCGTCTCATTTTAATGACAGAACTCAACACGATATAGACAAAACTTGAACCGTGCCCGTGAAATACTGTTCAAAGGGTGTACTAGACGAACTTTAAATTGATGAAGAGTCGAGAATTAATGCAAGAAAATGACTTTTTATCTTAGGCGACTCTTAAAAACTTAAACAACTAATGGATTTAAAGGAATATTGATATTGGTAGTTAAATCCTTCATGTACTTGAAGTACCAGCCAACATTTGCTAAAAAATCGCAGATCAAACCAACAAACTCGCGCTAAGCGGAATCAAGGCATACCTCGCAAAGCGCCCAACCCTAGACGGTTTCCGTCTCCACTAGTGCCTCTTTAAAGATCACTTTTCCAGGCTTTGAAGATCGTCCAAGAAACTCATAAACTTAATCATGGGTGGTCAGAAAGAACACAGAGGGATTGTTGATGCCTAGTACGCATGAGTGACAGCGCGATTCGAGACGCTCGCAATGATCTCAGCGAAGTGGTATGGCGTTAAGTCTTATTTGGCCCTCCACTGACCCCAGAGCGCAATAAAGCGTCAACCGTGAATTCAAATACTCTGAAAGAGATTTCTACACTTGTTGAACACTCGCCTGTTGCCGTATTGACTTAACTGCTTCGGATTCATATTCAGTTTTCGCAAGGCAGCAGCCCGTGTAACCAGTTCCTTTGTTTCTCGCTTAATCTTTTGTTTTTGACCGCGGAGATGTTAATTCTTACTGCATCATATGAAAAGCCACCTTTATTGAAGTGCGTCAATCGGGTGTTGGTGAAACATATACTGCGAGCGCAGATTTCGTTTTTCAAGTGAAAATTCTTGTCGTTAATAGGATACATTGATACTTCGATCGACGAACTATTATACTGGATTAACGTTCAAAGATGTTCCTTGATATTTGGACCAAAAAAACTTAACGCCGTAAATTTAAGAGCTAAATCTGATGAGAGTGTTAAATAACCTTAAAGCCGCAGAGCAAGTGATCCAAAATCAACTAATTTCAGGGAACTTTTCTTTCGAAATACCCTTGTATGATCATAGTGCGTGCTTTTACGTTTGTTTTGCGGAGGCGAACTAAATTTTATCTCAACTCAATTACTGCGAAATACCACATGACAAATTTACCGCTTGGCTTTGTGAGGATAAAGGTAGGTCCCGGAACAAAATGAGGACTTGAAAAAAAATCTGAATCGCAAGTTTTGTAACAAATATTACGGGGAAGTTTCAAACAAACACAGTTAATAACACATTAAGTTCCAATCAAGAAGAGTTTATTGTCCCTCCTTTAATCTTCGACAAGCAAATTGTCCAATATGTTCAAGGACGCCTTAATGGTACACTGAAATCGTCAGGCGATGACAATTGTGAGTATACTGAGTTTGAATCTAACTCGAAGTTTTAATAGTGTCAATACTGTTAAAGTGGTCCGGCTGAATTTGACTTTCAAAGTATTCAATTTTTACAGTTGTTGTGAACATAGATACCAAAATTGTGAGGATCGATTACCAGGAGCATAAAAAATATCACGAGCATATCAAGAGATGAGGAAATATCAAGAAAACCCACGGAGGTGCTGATAAAGGGGCAAGATATTAATTGTCGTATTTACGTTGAATATGAATTGTTGTTCATCTGTAACAGATAATTATTCCAGGTATACACTGATTGAATCCAACCAGCTCAGACGCGTTTTGCTACATGGTGTGGTCCGTTTAATCTCTGCGTTTATAGGATGAATTAGGAGACGATTTAGCCACCATGAAGCCTTATAAAATACTTATGAATTTCACAGTGAATTCTGATACCCAAAGCAATGAAGACCAGCATCGTTTTTTTTTAAACTTCTTTTATTTCAAAATATGGAAATCTGTAATTTTAATTAGTTGTCGCTTAATATTCTCATTAAGCTATAAATAAAGTCGTAACTATCAAAATATTTTTAAAAAATCTAACCACAACCTTCTGCGTAGTATTTCTAATACCATTTGTCATTCAAAAGTTATGCTTTAGGAAGCTTCGCTGATTCTGTTTGTGCTAAGCTATTTAATATATTAAGATCGTCTGAGGTAAGGTTCCTTTCAGTATCCTGTCTTGGAAGAAGTGCTAAGCGACTGAAAGCGGCCGGTATTGCGCAGTATAAGTACTCCGCTACAAAGTTTTAAAAGGCCTCATGGTTTACTGCGAAGGAGTGTGATAGGGGAGCTCATGTAAACGCGTTTTTGAGAGACGCACGCCAAGAGAAAGAGAGGCCTTTTCCCATTTTTAAAATATGCATGACGCTACCAAATTTGTATTGCTAAGTGTATTTACTCTTATGGAGACAATTTGTCCAAAAAATATAACCAAAAACACTGCCCGGTGAAGAATGCAAAAAGTCCACGTCAGGTTGACAAGCGTCGATTTAAAACGTCTTTGCTTAATCTTCCTAATCCTGCGAGTTTGAATCGCTATTGCGCATTGTTATTTATAGCTTATGCCTAGCTTTCTCGTTATGAGGGGCATTCTTTCACTAGGGCCACATACGATATGTATCATTTGTTTCTCTTTTTCTCTGATCATCCCCGTCTTAGCATCACTATTTCCTTCTTTGTTTATGTGGACATGATTTTTATTGAAGAAATTTGGCTATCTCCGCCCAACCTTCTTTTTTATGGGCTAAGAGCTTTGTGCAACTCTCTTAACGAATATTCGTCATTGAAAAGTGGCTGGATATTGGCCAAGTTCTGTTCTAACGTTTTTATAGAGGAAGTCAAGGTCCATAAATGCCAAAAAAACAAGGCTAATATCCGGCCAGCTAGTGGACCGAACGAGCTTAACCATTTAAAGATTTACTATACGTTGAAGCAATATCATGCCCTATTGGGTAGCCGAGGTAGACAACATTCGCTTTATCTTGCTCGCCCGCGAAACCAGCGTTAGCCATATAATACTGAAATCAAATTAAAACTAGTGCTTTTGCGACTGGCTTGCCAGGGCTTTCCCGCGCTTATGCGTGGGCTGCCGAGGTTTTGAGTTTTTAAAGCTAACTTGAAGTGACTGCTTCTTGCGTTTAATCTAGTCTTGAAAATTGCTCTTAGGCAAGCTTTGAGCACTCAACGCCTGCCTTTAGTACAGTCAACTCTCTTTTAACAGACACCCCTATAAGACGGACACCTATATAGTGACTTTCTATAAGATGAACGCAGATTGCTGGTGGATCCCACAGGTGTCTGTCTTAGAGGGAATTGACTGTATTTGAGTGGAGTGCCTGTAAACTAGCTGGATAAGCTAAGGGCAATTTCCACAATTTACAAATCCTTAACCTTTTTTATGGTTTGAATACTGTCTTTAAGACAGCTCCTACGTACTGAAGTCATTTACTTCCCGGTATGAACAAATAAATGCTCTCCTCTACATGGAGAAACCTCTCGAAGACATTAAATCCCAAAAGGGCTATAATCGTATTAAAAAGAAAAACCATCAAAATATTTAGACGTCTCATTACAGTGCAAATAAATGATACTATGACTGAATTTCAGGTGGGTGTAATCGAAACTGAAGAAAGAAAAGAAACACTGTACAGTCAAACCCCGCTTTACCGGGGGGAGGCGGGGGGGGGGGCGGATCCAGGATTTTTGGGGTGCACCACTAAGGAATGGTGTAACTGAATGCTGACATAAACAAATTTTAATACAGAATGCTAGTTGTATTAGAATGCCGCAGGTCATCTCAGGGGGGTGAGGGGGTGGTGCGCACCCCCTGCACCCTCCCCCTAGATCCGCCCCTACTTTGAGGGACAACCGCTTAATACGGACACCTCATAATTACAGACAGTTTGATTCGCCCCTGGTGAAGGAAAGCCATTACTAAATTCAACTCACTTAATACGGACACTTTTTATGGCCCCCTCAGTTCCCGTATTAACGAGGTTTGACTGTATTTAGTGGTAATTGCACAGAAAGCCGATGTCTTCAGTCAAATGATTTACTTGCACAGTAGAGTTCTCCTGATTTTCACGACTACAAATACCAAATATTAGCTGAGAGACTTGAATGAACAAGGCTCCACCGTTCATCGGGATTTTAGAGAAGGAACCACAGACCTGAGGACGGCTATCGTTTTGATTTAGGGGGCCGAAAATATTAAACTCGAAAAACAAAGAANGGGGGGGGGGGGCGAATCAAGAATTTTTGGGGTGCACCACTAAGGAATGGTGTAACTGAATGGTGACATAAACAAATTTTAATACAGAATGCTAGTTGTATTAGAATGCCGCAGGTCATCTCAGGGGGGTGAGGGGGAGGTGCGCACCCTCCCCCTAGATCCGCCCCTACTTTGAGGGACAACCGCTTAATACGGACACCTCATAATTACAGACAGTTTGATTCGCCCCTGGGGAAGGAAAGCCATTACTAAATTCAACCCACTTAATACGGACACTTTTTATGGCCCCCTCAGTTCCCGTATTAACGAGGTTTGACTGTATTTAGTGGTAATTGCACAGAAAGCCGATGTCTTTAGTCAAATGATTTACTTGCACAGTAGAGTTCTCCTGATTTTCACGACTACAAATACCAAATATTAGCTGAGAGACTTGAATGAACAAGGCTCCACCGTTCATCGGGATTTTAGAGAAGGAACCACAGACCTGAGGACGGCTATCGTTTTGATTTAGGGGGCCGAAAATATTAAACTCGAAAAACAAAGAAAGTTTTAAATTTTTTGGTAACTAGTTCACATTAAGGTTTTCATTTTTTGCTGTTACCTTTCATTACACAGTGTTACCCACAACAATTTCTTAACTTAGTGGCACACAATACCTGTCCAACGGTCAGAGGTTTTGCTGCATCTCTTTATGCGTGCTCAGTTTGGGGGAAAAAAGTTATACACCCGACCATGCCTTCATTTGTGTTTCGGACGAAAAATTGCCAATTTGTTACAACGGTATAATGAGGGCCGAGTACGGAATAAAAAATGGATTAACGAATAATTTTATCAGCCGTTTTTAATGAAAGCGAAGTCAGTGAATTGCAAAGAAAACTCTTTGGTTCAAAATGAGCGGGGCAAAAGTGAATAGAAATTTCAAAAAAGATGGTCTGATTTAAAAGTTCTCCCATGGATGATTTAATCCCTTGCCACTCATTTTTTTTTCCCGCCTAAGGTGTTGTATTGGCACTAAATTGCATAAACGGTCGATATTGTTATCACACTTGGTTACCTAGCGAGTCAAAATGTCTGAACAAGATTTATTTTTTAAACGATGTGTGGCAAGAGGAACATGGAAGTCATTTGAAAGGAAAAGGACTCGGTAGTGAAATTGACGGCCAAAGTAAGCTATAGTTGTGTAGAAATAAACAAATGGAATAAAACATAATCAGGTATTTTCAGAGGAACTTCGCCACTAAACTTGGGTCAAAACATGTTGTGGTGATCAATTTGCCTAGGCCGGAGTGCAAGAATTATTGTAGAGCAAATACACAAGTAGTTTTCAAAGAAATTTCTGCGGTTAGTTAACTTCAGATGTACTCACCTAGGCAAAAATAATCATCGAGAAAAAACATTTGTGTTAACTGTCGACGTTAAAACTCTCCGTGTATTGTATGTGGGCTTCCTCGCATCCACTAGTCACATGTTTAATAAAACTTTGCTCTAATTGTTGTCTTTTTCTTCTTAACTTCCCAAGTTCTTCCATTAGTCTGGAATTTTCCGCATAAAGCTCTTCAACGGTTGTCGCAAGCCTTGATTCGCGTATAAGTTTTTTCTGACGGCATTTCCACGCCGCTAAACGATTCTTCTGCTTTCTTCGCTCCATTTTAATGAACCCTTGCACATTGATGTTTTCGCCAGGTATGTTTGCGTCCGCTTGAGGTTGTTCTTCTACGGTGTCTGCCTCCTGTTTTAATACAGACATGTTATAGAGCTTCGTATGGACTGCGAGCCAATGTTTTGGTGTTGGGGCATTTTGAATAAAGCTGTCTTTGTCGTAGGTCCATTCACCATCGGGTCCAACGTTGTCCTGCTCGTGGACGCCATTATGAAACAGCTCCCTATCCTCTGCAGCTTTAATCTCGTGTTCGAAATCCTCATAACGAAATTCCTCAGCATCGGGACTGTGGGCTGAGGGAGAATTGAAGGAAGGTTCATCTGAATCTTCTTCGCTGGACGGATTAAACAGACCATCTCTGTGAGAACTTTGTCTTTGCCCAGAGAATCCTTCCTCCAAAGTCTCCACTTTAAACCATTCAGAAATTTCTGAGCCTTCGAGCGGCTCCCGTTCACAAGGCGAAAATCTGTCCACCTCTTTATTTTTTATTGAACCAGCCAACCTAACAGGTAAAAAAGTCTCTTGAAAAGACGGTAAGCGGTGAAATGAATCAAATCTGTAAGAGATGAAAGTGCATTTCGAGTCGGCGTCAATCACTTGGATTGATTCATCTGACGGAGGCGTTTTGGATTTGCGTGCTTGGCTTATTTCTCTTTCTTCTCGCAGACGTTGCAAGGCGTCGGTAAATCCTCTGGCGAACACTTCCTGTTCCGCGGTGACTTGCTGGCTCGTAAAATCCGGCTCCTGAGGAACCAAAAGCTGTGGTGCTGGAGGCGAATGGGATTCCAATTTTATCGAACAAGTCTCTGGGAAATTTCGCCACACAATCATTTCGAGGTCTGGCGACGAAATCCCTAGGTCCGGAGACCTCAACAAATCAGAAATATCAAAGTCTTCTCGTCTACCGGGATTTTTGCAGTCATTCGCTAAATTTAACCATAGCTCACCATTGTCTTGTGTGTAGGAATTTTTATTTGGCAACAAGAAGCTTTGATCCTCATAAATTGTTGCTTCCATGTCACGCGTATAGACGCCGAACAGTAGTGAGTAAATCTCTGCTTGACGGCGTTCGTTAATTTTTCCCTTTATGGCTGCGTTAATCAGGTAAAACCAATATTGGTATTCTGGCTAATTTCCTGACGTTTCGTTTGATCTGAAGGCACGTGGAATACAATTGTTCCAAGGGAGTCAATGGGGGTATGCGTGGCAGAAATCTTGGTAATCCTTTGTTATGTGCAATTGAATAAGCAAGTATTGTGCTTTCTGATTGGTCAATTAAAGCCGTGACTGGTAGCGTATTATGTCTCTCGCGTATACAGCTGCGTGGCTTTTCCATTGTTTGAAACCTTGTTGTAACGTAAAAATGTTCCAAGTGACCTGGGAGTCAAGAGTTTACTACTTAAGCTATTTTAAATCAATTTATTGTATCATGTCGTGTGTTTATTTTAAGCCTCCTCTCATTTACCAAATGAAAGAAGTTCGCCCTTTTGAAAAAAGTTCACCACCTAGGATTTAAAAACGTGTCTTCGATCATAATAACGAGAAATTATTTCACGATCGTATATATATAACATGTATTGCGGAATGCCGTAATAAATGTTCTTAGATTTTATTGAAAAAATTGGCAGTCTTTTATACAAGACCGGTATTTACCTTGTCGTGTCACCGCTCACTTTTAACCTCAAATATATCTTTTATAATAACGAAATAATTGATGTCGCACATATATAGTTCCTGTAACAAAATGCATACCAGTTTCTTGTTTTCACTAAATCCTTTTATAAATAAAGGTTTTATCCTAAAAAGGTTGACTTGCATAGGACTGATATGATCAACTCTTTTTAACATTTGTTTTGCACAACTCGTACACACTCTTTTCCTGGCACTGAAGAAGTTTCTGATATCCTAAGTTTATTAGCCTCTGAGTTTCGAAGTTTATTAGCCTCATTATATTAAAACCTTCAAAGATAAAATTCCTCCGTATTTCGGATACAAAGATAATTCCGCAGCAGAGCCGTAAAAGAGAACCGTACGTCTGGAGCTGAAGAACACAGCAAGGTTAATTTCTAACATAAAAAAATTAAATGCCAAACTTTGCTCAGAACTTTATTCAAATAGGCAGTTATTTTTTAAAATTATATTAAATTTGTATTCTTTTAAAACTGCAGGTTACCGAAAGAGTAATAGTAAAGCTATGAACAAGTTTAACCTGTCAGATAAGGGCTGAACGAGTAAGAGCTTGAAAATATGTTTTTACCGGAGTTAGCGATCAGATGACGTACAGCTTTGTTTAAAACTGCACCGTCGGCATTTTTAAGTAATTGCATTGTGCGTCATGCCTGTAAACTCACGGGCTTGCGGTCCGCCCGAAAGGGGTACCTTTTTCAGGCTTCAGGTATATGAAACGATAGGGAGTTTCTGGGCGGTTAAGCTCTCCTGGGGTTTCCTGGTGTTACAGGCTAGGGAGGGTAGGGAAATCTGTCATCTCGGTCTGTAAAAAAGCCAAAAAGGGCTAAAAGATGCAATTTATGGTTAAGAAAAAGTCGAGAAACGACGTTCTGGTTTTGTGATTTATTCATATTTCAAAGACAGTGCATTTACAGCTCTTAAAAGGGATGCGATGTTCAAAACTAGTTAAGTGGAAGGGGTACGATTTGTCAAATGAATAGAAGATATACGAAGTGCAAGGAGGAGCCACCACTGAATTGAACTAACTTCAATGGAAGTAACTTATAAAGCAATACAGTGGAGTCTCCATTTAGAAGACACCCTAGGAATCAGGAAAAGTGTCTCCTCAATAGAGTTGTCCCTTCAATAGAGTTAACTGAAAAAAAGGATTATACAGTGGAACTATTATTCAGAGGATACCCAGGAGATCAGCCAAAGGTCCCTGAATAGAGTTGTCCCTTCGATAGCGTTAACTGAAGCAAGATTATATCAACTCTCCTTTTGGCAGCAAACTTTGTGTTCTTTGAATGGACTTGTCCCCTGAACATAAGTGTAACAAAGAAAGGAAAGGTTAATGTTTCGTATTTTTGGATGGAGCTGCGTTTGTGGCAGGGGGCAGGCTACCTTCTTGGTGCTATATTTTCGTGGGTCTCAAATTTCGCGTTTTTTGCGACAAAAAAATCGCGAAATTAAAGACCTGACCTTCAATCTTAAGTGTTGGTCTTCCTTTCTTGATGCTGACCTACACCAAGATCCAGCTTTGACCAAGATCTGTTTGAAAAGTGATCCTTGCCATAATTGTTCGGAATATACCAAATATATGGAAAATTCAAATCATAAAGAAAATAATGACAAACATGTAATAACAACTTTATATACAAGATATGTATCAACAAATAGAAACAATATTAACTGGTTTTATTAGAAAGTTTCATGTTGTATCTTCTGTTGTGAAATGACGGTTTAAACACACTAAAAAGTTAATTTTCAAAGTATGTGTTCTTGCTTGTTCTTGTTACTTCTTAGATGCATTTTAAAAGTGTTTGTTCCAGTTTATCTAGAGTTTTAAAAAACTTCAGACTTCTTGAAACGTAAAATAAAGTTGAGGATGCTTGAATCGCGAAATTCAATGCCATTTTTACATAGTTGCCCACTGAAATTACGAAAGTAAAACCCCGCGAAATTCTGTCTCGCAACAATCGCGAAATTACTAGGTACCCGCGATGAAGTTAAGTACCAACAAAGCAACTTTTTAATGAATTTAATTTCAATTGCACTAGGTGGCTTTTTAGCCATTTGAAAGTTTCACTGTTGATCGGGTCACAATTCTTCCCCCAAAACCACAAATCAGTCCCTAAGGGGAAATTTGATACCACACTGACTCAACCGCTCACTAAAGAAAAGACGATAGTAACCTGTGATCCAAAGTAGGGTTTGAGCTTTCATGAGATGATTAAGTGGAGCACGAGCATCAATCGCCTATCTCGAAATATATCATTAGGCGTAATTACCTCACGCCTTTAAACACAGATACAGGTGTTCTCAGAAATTTCAAACGGTATCACGGTATCACGGTATCACGTTCACCCAAATTGTCGATTCCATGCCACCACTTTCCTCCACTTCATTTCAAAGTGAGCTATTACCGAGCGACCATACAGTTAAACGCCTTAGTTAGCCAACACTCTTGGTGAATGCCCTTCCGAGGGCGTTGTCTTAAGGGAACCAAGTTTCAACTAATTGTGTGAGTCAGATCATAAGTTAGTAGAGGGGACTATGGTCAGTTAATGCCATATTTTTGTTCATTCAAAATATTTCCCCGATTCTGATTGGCTAAAAGCACACGCAAAATTCACCATAACCAGCTACTGATGACCAAATTTGGAAGAATTTTGCGATTAATGAACCGATGACGTCAAAAGTGCAGCTTCCTTGCAGGTTAATGCACCGTTAATCGAGAAGACCCTGGGTACGAGGTTGAGTTGTTTTGGCTGTGATAACGAAAATGGCGGACATTTCACTCGTTTCAAGAGTAAGAACTAGGCGAAATAATAGCTAAAAACATGGCAAGAACTAGCCTGAAATTCATCCGATTGCTTCGAGTCGTTTTCTCCTCTCAACAACGTCTGAATCGACGGGCCGTTAATGCCGTACAGTGACGTCACTCACTACCCGAAAACCGGGTAGTGATTTTGATTGGTTGATTGTCTAAACATTCGCATAATTATGTATAATTATGAAAAATTTTAGCGGGATTGTCGCTTCATATTCAGCGGATCGCATCCCCGGCATTCTTTTGTTTAGTTCAAACATTTCGATAAGCTTAATCTTTATCTTAAAAAGCAAAATTGCCCTTGTCTTCGAAACTGAAGTGCTAAATTGAACTGCTAATGAAGAATCATTGCGGAGAGTGGGTAGGTTTTTCATTTAGAGCCGCTTTGTGGTTTTGGCGGCCGTTGATTTTGTTTACGCGAAGTTTTCTGAGATCAATGTTATAATTCGACCTTCTTGCTGTTTTTTCTGTCAAGTGTAATGATTCTGTTAGCTTTCCTTTCTTGTCTCCTTGTTTTTTTTCTTCGTTAATTAAAGCAAATCATTGTGTTTTTGAACTAAGTGTTCCGTGTGTGTGTTTATTTCATTTGCGTGATTTCGACCGAGTTTGATATTTATAGACTTTAGTACAACCGGTTCAGAGTTGTACTGCATGCAGTTGATAGTTTCAACGTTAAACATGAATTACGATCGAAAAAAATAAAGCAGTTCTGTATCATGCAGACATTTCCAAACGATATTTCTCGGTTTGCCACTTGAAAATCGTGTTTTACTTTTTGCATGAATTAAAGCAAAGGTCAAGGACTAGTGACGTCACTG